GATAATTAGTCTTAAGATAGAGCGTAGGGTCTGAGGGGAGATTATGTACTTTGAGTATTGTTAGATGTTCAATTGTAATGATCTTGATGATTTTGGTATTCCGTGTTATTTGTTGTTGAATAGAAGAGAGGAGAGGTACAGGGGACCCGACAATTCTGGTGATTGATTTGAGAGGGATTTATCTCGGAATTTGAGGGAGATAGCGAAATTTTGGTTATCACCTTTTTCGTAGACGGGATTTCGGTCTATAGAAAAAATGAACATGGAAATTTCGCTAGCTCTGGTAGATACGGGGATTGAATTGATATTTCCGGGTGAGAATGATTGTTTAGGTGAAAATGTATCAGTGAAAATTGAGTTATCTTTTGAATTTGAGGATGTTTGCACTCTTATCAGTGGAAGATTGATATTCCCGATTGATCGAACTTTTTGATACTTAACAAGAATGACTGGTTATGGAAGATTAGAACTCGCTTCTAAGTTTCATTTTTCGATGTAGTTGTCTCTCGAATACAGATGTAGTATTTAATAGAGAGATATTTTTCTGTATATTGTGGAGAAAATTCCATAAATGACCATGTTCTAGGAATTTAAGGAGTCATTTGTTTAATTGAATAAACTACTTGAATAATAAATTGTATTCTTTCTCTTTTCATTCCTAGCCAAAAAATAATTTAAGAAACTCATCTTTTATTTTATTTCTTCATCCGAAATTCAAGGAATTACACGCGGAAATCATCGTCTCGGTCTCATCCTAATGACGATTACTGAGGAAATTGGCAAATGAACAAGACGTGACGAAAATTGGAGAATGGTCATCATCTGGATCTTTTCCGCTTTCTACACAAGTGATTTTAGTTATTCACAACCCGGAAATCCTGCGTTGAGAGATCATTACAGGGTATCACGTATTTTGAGACGTATTGAATTTTTTTTTACTGACAAAAAATTGTCAAAAAAAAATTGGAAAAATTATTTGAAACAAGTCCTAATTCATCAGAACCATCCGCTTATCAGATATATTTTATTTTTTTTCTGTTGACACACTTTACCAATTTAATAATAACCGCTATATTTTCCATTATCGTGCAATGACCTGCCTCAGCAAGACAATCCACAATAATGAATAATCCTTGAAGACAATCTGGCGAGAGAATAAATTACGCAGATGATTCATTATCGTTATAAATGCACCCCTCGAAAATGGAATAATTGAATAATCATTGTAAAAACGAACCAGCGAAACAGCAACCGCCGATCTAGGGATTGAATTAATTATTGAAAAGGACTTTGGATTGTGGAGCAGTTTCTAATTATTTTTTCGGAATCCAAGGGAAATATCAAAATTTTTGTTAGAATGTTTTTTATGTTGCTCATTGAGAGCTGCATAAAGTGTTATAACAAAAATTTTCATATTTCTCTTCGATTCCCAGATATTTGTCGAATACTCAGATAAGAACAGAGTAGATTCCAATTTTTTACTTGCTCGCTACTGAATTATCGATGACATCATCTAGTACAATCATACAGCTCTGCTGATGGAAAATCCACAACAGGATGGCATGTTTTCCACATCGCGGACTCACTTAATCCGTCTGTCGATCGTCCCCATAAATATGGATGCGCATGAACAATCATAAATTCATTAGCATGTCCAGTGGTCATCGCTAATGCATATCCATCGAGAATTTTCCAAACAGAGAGGTGTGACGGTCTTTTGAAAACAAAACCTGGGAATACGAGGGATTAATTTGTCATCCTAACTCGTGTCAACATTGAACGAAATTTCCATTGTAAATTTAATGACAGAGGAGTTGAAAAAAAAATGTATACACGATGATGACGAAATATCGTACATTTGATTGAAGGCATGTTATTAACGTAATTTATCAAAATAATTATGAATTGTCACGCTTCAGATGATTCTGAGTGATTTGAACTAAAAGGGAGAAAAATTTTAGGGTTTTCCATAAAAATTCAAGGGACAGCCAAGATTGAAGGTTTAAAAGTGGAAAAAATTCCATTATATTTTTATGGTAATCTAATCTATTTTTTTTTACTCAATGCAACGATCTTGAGAATATGGGACACGTCAAGAGGCACGTGTATACCAATTTTCGAAGATACCACGTGCAGAAGAGCTAATGTTAAATATTGGAGTTGCGTCGAACCAGGGTGAGAGATCTGTTGAAATACACCGACAGAAAAAGTCAGTAAAAATTACCGATCCATTTGGTAATCGTGTTATGTTTGAGCCGTTCAGAGAAAATTATTGTACCGCTTATTGTCAAACGGTTAAATAATTTCTACCGAATACCGAATTGTTTCCTCCGTGTAGTGAATTTTTCTCAACCGGAGAATCTACTTGACGAAGATTTATCTCAGAACTTCACTTCGTTCGACAGGCAAAAATGGAAGAGTGACCATTCCATATCAATCACCACTGGACAACAAGAGGAATTATATTTAACTCGAGATAATGCTGAATGCGTCAAGAAGGTCTCGTTACGTCAACCCACGGGGGGCGAATTTTTATTTTTGTGTCATAACATATTCCCTACGTCTTCCACACGTACAGGAGATGACTGATAATAGATCGAACAAAAGTTGCTTTCTTCTCGAAAACGTGAAGTGCGGTTCAATAATCTCCTAGTCAGCATGAATATTTCTTACATATCATTATCATAAATAGAACACGTCGCTGACAAACGCAAAATGCTAATTTATTCAGGAATATTTGAGCATGTGGAAGCCATCCTACATTTAGAAATATTATTTATTTAAATAGCACCTCTTCCATTTGTCTTTTTATTGAGAAAAAAAAATATTTAGCGTTTTGTTCATACTTCAAATCATTATTGTTATCAATATTTAATTTATATCAGTTTGCTATTATTTTTCTTTTTAAATTCATTCTTTTCTTTAATTTTCCCACTATTGCATGTCTTATCTCTTTTATCTCTTTCATCTTTGACAATTTGATAAATTTCTTTTTATCAAATATCCTCATGCATTTCAATATTTCCTTGATTATCATTATAAAAAATTCAAATGGAATATCTTTCTTCGCTGTACTGCGATTTTTTCGTGAATTTACTGGAAATGACGGATACAATGAACTCGAGTTATTGATTTATGTATTATTGCGAGACTAACGCGCATTCGCACGGAGAGTACATGGCGACGAGAGCAAACAATTCGGATAAAATGCAAAATGTGACAATTTTTTCCAGGCAGTTTACGAGGTCTTGATTTAATTTTTGATTATTATTTTTCGGATAATTTCTATGGTATGGAATTATGGTGATGTGAAATAAAAATTTACTTCTGACGTCTTCCTGGACAAAGGATCATTCGACGTACACGACAGTTTTATAAATGAGTCTATGTACCGGGATAAATACCGAGCAGTTGATTTCATCTTCAATTACAATTACTTCACGAGCATTTATCGGGCACTCGAGACTATTCAGTTATGCAAGCCGTCGAAAGTGATATCTATCACTAATGCGAGAAAAACAATTTTATCTTTTTGAAATTGTAATCGCGATTTAATTCAATTTAACTGGTTTTTATCTTTGTTCTCGACCTTTTTGCCTGTCAAGGTGAAGGTGAGAATGCATTTGAAATTTACACGTGGAGAATATTATAATTTTAATGTAATTAAAATTCCGTCAGTCATTAAATAATAACAAAATGCAAAAACCTTATATTTTTCGATCCCATCAATCCCATCGTATGTTTGCCAAAGAAATTCAACAAATTTTTTTTTGTTGAATTTCCACGAATTTTTCAGTAAAAAATGAACATGTGTCCCTTATCGCGTGGGAGGTCATCATCACGACCTTGGAGATGATGACATTCTCCGGGATGATTCATGTTGCATTTTACCTGGTCAAAGCCCCTTGGCAATTCCATGGCAAATAAATGTGGCACTCGAGCCGGATGATGTGGGGTCATTGCTTCAAGCCACGAAACACTTTAGCAAAATACAGATATACTGACTCATCAGTTACCGAGGGAAGTCCCAGTATCCACGGCCGAAATGCGTACGTCTAGTTAACGGTACAATATATCCGATGGAGAAAAATAAAAAACATATTCACGAGAAGGACCATTCGTGGCGCAATATGGGGCAACCGCCGGAAGTTCGTGAAATCGGTTAATAACACGTTGAACTTTTTCCGCAGACATTTCCCAGACGAATACATCAGTATAAATTTGCACGCATTGGCTCCATTCTCAAGGTTTTCAATCGAAATTCGAGATTACGATGAATAGTGGTGAGCAGAGAATTCGAATGGCGATCATTTTGTTTTTAGAGCGCGATAACAGCGAGGAAAAAGGGATGCGCAGACTGACAAAAAAAGTGGAGGATCAGCCTCTTGACCCTACGATACTTTTGTCAGCTGCACCCTTCGGTATATTTAGAAACTCGAGGTGGTGAATTTACCGCTTGCACTTGATCACGCTTCATGAATAAAGGAGTCATCGTCGAGGAAAACCGGATGCCCCGGGCATTTTTATTTTGGGAGTGTGGAAATCGATATGAAAATGTTCACAAGGAGAAGAGGTCCACGAAAAATTACTTGCCCGGCCTTGAGATTAGAGAAGAACGTCAGGCAAAATTTCCCGATGTTAGATAGCGGCGCCGGTATCTCCTTTTTTTTTAAGTTATAAAAATTATTCGCGATTCCGTGGTTTTTTTTACATCATAGTTTTTTTAATCCTTGGAACTTTCGGTCATAACTATAATTTTATTCTCTTTATTATGTTTGTCCCATTGATTGAAAAATCAGATAAATTTTCAATCGGTGACAGCTCCACGGGAATTTAAAGACATTTCGTAATTGAAAATTTACGATCTAACGGGGGAATTAATTAAGAGTGTACCATGATGACACCTTTTTGCATTCAGAGGCTCATCGGAATCGATGAATAATAATGAGACTGGCGCAACGCCGATTACGGCTAGAAAAAGAATTTATTAAGAAACTCACCCTCTCGCATCCCAACTCCGTCGACCTTTTATGTAACAACATCCCTGAAACAAACAACAAATAAAATTAATTACGACAACAGCCCATTATTTCCCATTTTTTAATCAGATATAAAATGTTTAAAAAAAGCTGAGGGATATCTCATGAAATTTCATCATTTAAATTTCAATCAGGAAAAGTCGCATACATAAATAATTTAATTTCCGACTAATGGACATTTGATTCTGTTCGGTACTGAATATTTCTATTTTAATTGCACTTGGAGATCAAACTTAAAATTCCATTTTTGCGAATAATTCTCAATTTTCAAGTGAATGGAGAGACTAAGGGAGAAGAAAATGAAAAGTGAAAAATCATTGAAAATATAAAAATAATAATAATCTCGCCAGACGATTACGTGGGCTGTCACGTAACTTCTTCGTCGTAGGATCGATCCAGCCTACATATCCCCTAAAACGTCATACCATTACTGGGAATACACGTGTCGATGATGTCACTGTTTTTTTTTCGGATTACATTTAATAACCGTCATATACATTGATCTGATGCAACTCCAGAGACTGCATGCGCGGAATTTGCGATAATTGTTTCCCAGATGCGCCAATTATCGATCCACTAGTGACGGAAATTATTTTATTGCACTTTAGACGATTCTCGAGATATTTCGAACACTTATTCTTGTAACGCCACGAAATGCTATTGAAAATCTTCGGAATGATGCAGGTCAATTATCAACACGCAATAGGAATTATTTCAGCGATCTTTATCAACTGACATGAACGAATTTTTCTGCGGAATAATTCCGCAATATTATGAAACTTTTATTTTTTAGCGGCTATCTTGAAATGTGAAGAACAGGTGATAGTTCCAGTGCGATTGAAAAGCGACTTGAAAATTTCGCATCGTCCTTCAATTTTCAAGAAAATTTTCAAGTTTTCTGAGTTTTGTCAATGCATGTATGTAACCAAGAAGTTTTTCGAATTTCATTCAATCAAGGGTCAATACATTCGATTAATGTTGACCCAAGGTTGATCCAAGGTTAGCTCAATAGTGGTTCAATGTTGACCGATCACTGACCCAATTAATTCCCAAATTCCATTGAATATCCCAAATCATATCCAGTCACTCCAAAAATACCTTCTCTTGAATTGATTAAAAAATGGTCGGTGTGTTCTGTTTGTGAGTTTACATGATTAAGTGAGAATAATTATTAACGTCCGATTACAGTGGCGTTATCCGAGTGCCTTCTCATCAGCTTGGCAACCTGTTAGACCTGTTGGAGTGATCGGAAAGACCTTGTCCCTGTGATTTTCCGACACGTGAAGCAAGTTTGGCATTTGATACGGGATAATTATCATCATCATTCGATAACGGAGTTGCGTTTGATCTCCAGTTGGAGCTCATTACTACGATTTGCCAATGGAAATTGATAGCATTGCAGAAATTTTTTTTAGAACGACGCGTCATCGCTGACGCTGTCGTCAAATGTCATTAATTAATTAATCGCATCATTTCGAACTTTCTGACCGAAACGTTGACCGATGAATCATGGCTCGTCAGACGCACATATGTAATCACCACTGAGAAAATGCGTGTTCAACGTGACGGGTGTGTGCCTGACTCGTGATAATGCGAAAAAAATATTTATGCATTTCAGAACAATAAGTTATGAATGCAATAAAGGATATTGCGCAGTAGAACGGACCTGGGGACTCCGCAGGAAGAGAAATCGATGATTTTGCCATTTTTTAAGGCCCATCTTTCGGGTGTTACGTAACTCCGCGGTGATAAAAATCATTTTATCCTGTTAGGTTGAGGAAAATGAGGGTTAATTGGTGTTTTGAGGACAGAGAATGAGAGTTCCTTCAAAATTTTAGTCAATTTACAGAATAAATTGGGCTAATTTCATAAATTTAAACAAATGTTTGTGTGAATTATCTGTTCGTATGGAGTGGTGTTTTATGAAATCATTAAGAGGTTCCAGACAGAGCGGGGAGGTTACGAATAAGTCAACAGAATGATTAACGGGTTCATAAGATCGTTTGAGTTTTTCTATTCGTCATAGGGGGGAAATGAAATCAGGCGCCTTGGTACACGTCAGTACGCGCAATATTGCGCTAAATAGTGAGTCAATTCCACGATTTTTCTCGCGGGTACGCATTAAAATGATTACTCCAGGAGCTGTGCTTAAAATCGCTATTGAAATATTTGCTCGCAATAAGATGAGAGAAAGAACTAGGCGTTATAACTAGTCTATTAAAATTCGATAACAGATCCCTGACAAATTCTAAAGTGGAAAGCTAACAAAATCAAATTTATTCCTCGGATGCAATTAGATATTTTTTGGTTACCGGAGAAAAAACATTATTCATGCCAATTGAATTTGTTTATCACTCATTTAAAGCCATGTAATTTTTTAAAAGATATTTCTCCTCGAGGTTTAGCTTGGAATAAACCAAGCTTGACGCAATGTATGCATTTATTTTCCCCTGAACTCACCCGAAGATGTAATGCAATTCAGCTTATCTAATGCAACCTCGCCCAAACAAATAACTTTGGAGAGGTCATACAGGCTGCTTGTGTTTTCCGGTGTGATGACCAAGGGCACATGCTTTTTAAGTCAAACGAGGACATCCCGAAGGTGAAAATGACTATATAAAAAATTCCGATGTAAACGGCACTCTAACAATGCTAAAGAACATCCAACAAAAAATTGTCACTTGCTAATTACTTATGACTTTCGCCAACAAAAACACGGAATATAACCAATTCTCGACTATGAGTTTACTTTCACTTTCAAGTGTTTACCAGATGACCCAGAAGATCGCGCTGGTCATAGCACTACTTATCACTAGTTCTGAAAAAATCAAGGGCTCTAAAAAATGACAGTGAAGAACACGCGTTCGGTTAATAGAGACATAACCTGAAACAAGTTTAGTAGAAAGTGAAGTTTCAACCTTAGCCGACGCCATCCTATTCCACCACATTATTCACAGGTTTGTCAGCATTATTCTCAGGTTTAGAATGACTTTCTACTCATGACCTTTGTCTCTCTGCATTCGTGATTCTCGAGATCATCTTGATGTAGGAAATAGTTATTTCATTGCTGTATCGCAATTGCGGATTCCCACGGCCGTGGAATAACTGAGATGTATTGTAATGCAGGAATGAGGATTTCATCTGCACGTGTGACAACTGCTGGATATTATCCATTCTTTTTTTTTGCCACCAGAAAGGAATATCACGCAACTCAGTCGTAAGTTTTCCCGGCGAAAGTAATTATTTATTATGAGACTTCCACTGATTTTTTTTTTTGAAAACTCAGTAATTCTCGGGATTACTGGAATCTCATTATTTTATGTAATAACTTCACGGAAAGAATAAGCGTGGGATTTTAATTATCTTATAATTAATATTTTCAATTATAATTAATCAGTATATTAATTTCTATGAGGCTGTCCATAAAAAATATCTGTCACCAAATCATCGTATATCCCTGTCATCAAATGAACTGGAATAATGGCTTGTTTTGGTAGTTTATTTGAGTCCATTTCGACACTGATGTGCTATTTACACATCACACATCAGTAACACAAGGACTCGACAAATAATAAAATCTCAAAATTTATTTCAACGGAGAATCGAACCCTAATCCACCGCGTGGTAGACTCAAATCATAACAGCTGAGCCACTGCCTTCACTCTCAGCATTAAATTAAAATTCAAGTGAGGAGTTAATTCACTCGACTAGACAAAAATTAATTTCTACCGAGTCCTTGGCGTTATCATCGATCGGGAAACGATCCATCACCGATTGGGATCAATTCAATGGCGTAAAATGGAATTTTTTAGGGAAACAAGAGACGTTTCCACGAAATTATTCGCACTCGTACCAAAATAAGGAAATGGGGACAACGATGACTAACCCCTGGCTTAATCGGTAACACACAGAAGGGACGAGTGCACGATATTTCACCTCTTGCAGTTTATGAGTAATACAGTGAGGCGATCTGAGAACAGCCATGAAATATGGAAAGGGCAACGGGATGATACGTTCGCTATATCTGTACTTCTCCGGAGTACAGATAAATGAGGAAAACCAGGCGAAAACAACAGCGAAAATTATCACAAATATATAAATTGCTTTCGTATGAATTTCGTGACGGGCGAGTTTTTTCTGTAATCGTGTGAATCACATGTGATGCATAATTTTTGGATATAGATCAAAACCCTGACCTCTACACTGAGGAAAAAATGGCTTCATTTTGACCCACCATCCCTTAAATATTCAATTAAATTTTCAATTTCATTCAGCCATTTAATTCCATTGATATGAAAAAAAAATGTTTTTCATTTTTATGGAATAATTGAACTAAAATGAAATGAAATTCTGGTAATCGGTGAAAAGAAATATCTATTGAAATTATATTTTTATGGTAAAATAAAAATAATCGTCTGAATAAAAAAAGAAAAATCGCTTTGTGTGCCTAATGAACCCAGTAATACGCTTAATTCTCCCACTGCACTTCATTAAAGTAACGACTGGCATACGTAATGCTGTGCATTGGGTCAGCACGTGGTCTATTGAATTTCATCCATAATAACTCACTTTATCCATCACGTGGTATAGCTCTCAGCTTGATAATATTCAAACCGAGACGAATAAGATTCTAATTGTTAAAGCACGTGTTCTGCATTCGGGTAAAATCTATTTCTAGGAAAATAATGACAGACGTCGGTCATTCCTCCCAGAACCTTGAGATGTCCCTTTGCCCTAAGTAATTGTGGCCTGGGTTATTCATCTCTTCAGCAGAATTCACTTCCATCTCAATTGAAAATCTAATATCTAAAAATAATAAAACCAAAAACGAACAATAAATTCCTGTGAAAAGAATTTCTGGTTTCTAGGAAAAGTATGAAATCTTAGATTCTATATTCATCCCAAAATTGAAGAATTTTACTTTGATAATAAATACAATTTAATCAATAACACAGAATGAATCTGAATTATCCCGAATTGTTCGTTCCATTAGTGTCAATATAAT